GTAGCACCCGTTAGGACCCCAGCTATGAGCAAATAGTGAACCTCAAAACATAAAAATACAAGCAATACATATTAAGAGTAAAATTACCAACAACACATTTTTAAAGCAGAATTAATCATTTTTATAGCTTAAACGCTCCACATTTTGGAAATTTCCTTCCGGTGGTCCTGAATTTTGAACTAGCAATTATTATTATTATTATTATTATTATTTTATTTCTTTGATTTCTGGTATGTACTCATTTCTTTCCGGGTCCCGCCCAGAGACCTAAGTTCATAAATGTCATCATGGCATTTTCCACTGAGCAATTAAACAAAAAACATATTTTACATAGATAAAGTCCTTAGTAAGGTGTGTGCTGTACTCGTGAGAACATTTTTTTGTATATCTTTAAGGCATGGGCTTCCAGGAATCCCTTCAATGAATTTACTGGAATCTTTTCCAAGCAATCCGAGGGCTCCAACTATAACGGGGATTGTTGATGTTCCCATGTGCCACATTTCTGAGATTTCGATTTCAAAGTCCTTGCATTATTATTATTATTATTATTATTATTATTATTATTATTATGTATAATGGCTGCTCTCCATCCATCAAACCGCACGACCTCGCAGAATATTTGCAGTGCCAAGCAATGAAAACTTCTGAAGCGATGGAATACACGGCTTTATTCCGATTTTATCAATGTAAGACAGTTTGGTGGTATATACACCAACGCATCAGTAGTGGCTTAAACGTCTCACAATCTAGCAATTTCATTCTGGCTGTAGTTCTTGTGTTTCTTGAGTTTGCAAAGTTCTTTGACCGTAATGTTATGGTCACAGGAGATAGCCACGTCATCGAGGAAGAATTTTATTCATTCTACTGTCTTCTCAACATTATGACCCCGAAGGACCTAACTCTTTAACTACTACCATTAGGAAGAACCTTATTATTGAGAAGATCCTTCCAGTGATTCCATAGCTAGAGAACTTGAGTAGCAATCCTTTACGCCATTTGAATCTTACATTAATATAAGTTTATAATTTTATAACCTACGTTACAACAAGCTGCCTCAAATATACACCCTTGTGCAAATTAATTGAATCAATCACTTCATTTACCTTTCTTTCAACATATGGTCAATTTTAGACCCATTGAAGTGAAAGGGTGTAATCGATTTTTTTTTAGCATTTCACCCCAAGCAAGGCGGGAAGCCACTAGGACGCAAGGGGTTACAGAAAATTTAGAGCAAGATCAGATAGGAGTGATAGAAGAAAGGATGAGGGTAGTGGATAGATCAAGGCAACTGGAGATGTCGATTGACATTACACTTGAATAGCTGGAGATTATAGCTCACAGGGAAACAGGAGAAAGGAAGGGAGTTCCACAGGCGAGAGGTGCGAGACATGAAGCTATTAGAGTAGAAGAGACGGCTACATTTAGGAGTTTCGACAGTGAAGGAGTCAGAGCGGGATGCCAGCCTCGTAAGGCGCTTGAACTCATGACGTCTGGGAACTAGCGAATGCAGCTCCTCGGAGCAATTTCCATGAAAGTATTTGTAGAACAGACAGAGGGAGGCGACGGCGCATCTGTGAGAAAGTGACTGTAGACGAGACGCCAGGGCAAGGCCAACCACATTGCATATCCGCCTCTGGAGCCTATCAAGAACCCCGAAGCAAACAGAAGGGGCCCCAGACTATATATGGCAGCAATACTCCATGCAAGGGCGAATTGTTGATTTGTAGATCTGGAGGATCGACTCCGGGGAGAAAAACTTCCTAGCGCGGCTCAGGGAGCTAAATTTCCTTGCAGTGGACGAGGCAATTGACTCAATGTATTTATTCCATCTCAGGTCAACATTTTTTCCTCAGATTAAGTCATATGCAGTAAGTGTACAGTAATATGAATCTATTTTCGGGGTGCATGATGAAATTTGTTTAACCTTGAAAAATATTGCATCATCCGTGATTTCATCAAATTTTCATCACGACCAGACACTATTGTCTCGACTGTCGATTAGTTGTCCTACGACCATTGTATGCGATGGACGTTACTTCAAGAAAGCGTACAAAAATTGTAAAGCTGCACGTCTGGCAAGTCTTACCAGTGAGCAAATCAAAGTACTATAGACTGGGCCGGAAACTCTCCTAATTTGAATCCAATCGAGAGTCTGTGATCACTCTGCAAGGAAGGATTTCGTGGAATAGACATAAGAAGTAGTAACATGTGCGCTAGATCATGCTTCATTGGAAAAATACGAAAAAAGTAAATAATAACAGAATTATTCGTTTTGTTTCAATTGCTTTGCACAAGGGTGTAGGTGATCATAGCCCTCCACATCTTCCTGTATAATTAATTTGCACAAGGGTGTACGTTCTCCCCCAAATTCAAGACGGTGTTCCTCTCAGGCCAATTGTTAGCTACCAAAGCTTTGTATGCCACCCTCTGAGTTACTTACTAGGAGATATAGGGGGACATAGTCATCATGTCCGAAACTCCCCACTTCATGGAAATAATTAAAAATGCCCCCATCCAGTTCAACCGGATAAACCTGGACGTAGTAAGTTTGTTCACCAAGGTATCCACGAAAGAGGTACTATCAATAGTCAGGTATACACCGGCCTCGGACTCATCTGTACGCGAACGTATCACTATACTAATAGATAACCTGGTGGAGATGCTGATTTTCTGTACATTTCATGCATATATCTATAGGGTGAAAGCTTGGTAATTGGCTTGCCATTATCACCAACAATGGTAAAGGTATACAAAGAATACTTCGAGGAAATGATATTAGAATGAAGAACATTAAAGCCAGCTCTAAGGCTGTGATACGTAGATGACACCTTCATACTCTGGCCCCAACAGAAAGATGTCCACCTACTACCGAACCATGTGAACACAATAAGATCATACTTATTATAAAACCCAGGTTTGTGTGTGTGTGTGTGTGTGTGTGTGTGTGTGTGTGTGTGTGTGTGTGTGTGTTTCGTTTATATATTGGATCGGATTTCCTACATTTTTCAACCGATTTCAACAAAACTTCACAGGACTACTTGCGGTGGTTCTGACAGCACCAAAAATTGGAAAAACACAATTGTTTTTGCACAAAATCAATTTGAAAACACGATTAAGAGGTATCGCTGTCGAGAATAAAAGGGGGACAACTCATATCGAGTTATACTATTATACCCAGGTTGTTTGTGAGTGTGTGTCTGTTTTCGTTTATATATGGGATCAGATTTCCTACATTTTTCAACCGATTTCAACAAAACTTCACTCTTTTTTTTGGCAGTTAGTGTTTCTTATTGTCTTGCACACTTTTTTCTTTATTTTTACATTCAGAATGCTTTAAAAATTCCATTTACAAGACAATTGTTTATAATAAAATTCTATTCAATCGGTAGACTCATAACGATTGAAAACAATGCTTTTGTTTGAGTTTGACCAAAAAAAAACAAAAATAACCAAACAAATAACATAAAAAAAAACAACTAATTACGACATGCGTGTCCATCAACCTTAAACAATAATCTTTGTCAATTTTATTTTTCAGTCTTTATGATGGTCGATACTTGATCTATCTCTTACTGTTACATCTCCGGGCAACGCCAGGCTCTACTGCTAGTCATCGATAAAATTCACAATGGAGAAAGAAAATAACTAGCGTTCATGAATGTACTAATATCTCGAACAGAGCATGGGTTCAAGACATCCAAGCAACAGTCAGCGGAGACTACATCAACTTCGACACCCACCATCCATACAGTGTAAAGAAATGGATCGTCCGCTGCTTACAACATCGAGCAAAAGTCATAAGTGTCGGCCCAGAGAATAAGAAACGGTCAGTATAAGTAGTACCCTACAATGTAACAACTACCCTGGGAACATGACAAAAGGCTCCACAAACCGAATGGCTTATCGGAAGAAAATACAAAAGATCTGTAGTCCATATAACATCGGTACAACCTTCAGAAGTGATTCAATACTACACAAACATCTCTTCTAAGTAAGACCTCCAATAGAGGAGAACATAATTAAGGACTGTGTATACGCCATCCCATGCAGTTGTGGCAAGAAATATGAAGGCGAAACCTGTCACCTACTTAAAATAAAACTGCAGGGACTTCGGGATAGATGGATACCAGATGATAATAACACACGAAAAACAGTCACGGTCTGTCTACTCCACGTGAATGGCTTATCGGAAGAAAATACAAAAGATCTGTGGTCCATATAACATTGGTACAACCTTCACGAGTGATTCAACACTACACAAACATCTCTTCTAAGTAAGACCACCTATAGAGGAGAACATGATTAAGGACTGTGTGTACGTCATTCCATGCAGCTGTGGCAAGAAATATAAAGGCTAAACATTTCACCTCCTTAAGATAAGACTGCAGGAAATCTTCAAAAGTCTGTTTCGACTCTATAGCTTGAGTTAGTAAATTTACGAGTGATTACTTAGTCATTTTAATAATCTATACAAATAAAATATTTATCTGCATTTGAAAGAAATTAATTCCCGAGCAAAATAAACTATTTAGTTAATTAGTTCTTTTACTTGTACGTTGCAATCTTATTTGTTCAAGACTTTCATGTGAGGCACGCCATTAAGTGATCGCATTGTTTTAACTTGGGATAGAAAAAAAAACAAGAAGTTGTCCTGCAATTTGATAAGGCCTTTAAATATCGAAATCTTTTTTTTAACCAATCAGAAATGTCAACAGAATTGTCGTGATGACTGATCAGTACAGTAACGCCTTTTGTGCTTTCTCCTTGTCTTCTCTTATCGGCCGAACGAGAAAACAAGATAAAACTCACTTTCACTTGCTTATATGTTTTATTATTTGTAAACATCGCGAAGAATTTTACAAAGTTGATTCTGCCCCCGTCACCACCAACTCTAACCGCTTTAAGATAAAAATTGTGACAGCCATAGGCGGGGAGGAGGGGAGGAGGTGAGATTGAGTCTTCTGTTGTTTGTATCAGGATTCAACAGCACGTTCGACGCC